TAAAAAAGGCATATCCTTGGGTGAGGATTTAAAAAAAATAAAACTGCAGGTTCACAAAATTCCTTCCCCCAAATTTCCTGAAATTAACAAAAGTGGAAAAATAACAAATCATGTCATCAACCCTGAAACCAAAAAGAGATCTCAACTTTATACCATAAACTTTGAGAAGTGTCATCCAAAAATAAAAACTTGGACCAATTGAAAGAGGTGCAAAAAAAAAAAACAATCAATATGTTTGCCAAAGAAAAGACTGGAACATGGTGAAGTACAGGAGGGAATTCTGAGAAGCTTTGCTGCTTTTCAGGGCTCTGGCTTTTAGTATAAAGATATACCAGAGGGAAGACTTAGAACAACCCACACCTTCACTGGGGAGCCTTTCTTCCATCAAGAAGACGTCTTCCCTTAGGCAAGAAAAGTCAAGGAAGTTTACCATCTTTCCTGCCTCTGATGCATCAATACATGGGCAAGGAATAGGGGACGCGTCTGCTAGGAATAATTATTACAGCCACAAGAAAAAGCTCCACAAGACATAGCAATAGAGTGTCAGGAGCCTACGGTACCTTCAGGCAGCGGAGCAGACCTCTGATGCTCTCCTTTTATTTGTATCAGGGAAGGAACTCAATGACCCCTGAGCCCCAGCTCTCTGTTCACTCTGCTTGAGCGGCTGAAAGATGGGATGAGGCATATAAATCACGGACATCCCGTCCATGTGATCCATGGAAGAATAAAATCAGATCCAATCGGAAACTATTTGGGGTAGATGGAATGCTGAGAAGGAAAGATTTCAGGTCATATTGACATATGACTAATGCAAAAAAATTCTGCATATACCAAAGGAGACAAAAATTCAGATACTCATAACAACCAATGTATATAGGGTTCCAGCTCCCCACCAGGCACTATTTGGTGTGCATTGTCTCCTTTAGTCCTCATAATAGCACTACAAGATAAGCATTGTTATCATCCTCATGTTTACAGATAAAACTAGGTTAGGAGCTTGCCCAAGTTAAACCAGCTGGTAAGAGGGGGCTCAGGACTTGAACACAGGCAGTCTGAGTCCAGGGCCTGTTCTCATCTGCTCTGCTCTTCTCCGTCACGAAACACACAACATTGTAGGCACCTGCTTTGTACTCTCAGATTAAAGAGAATAGAAATTCACTGGCCATGTACCCTTTCTTGAAAGCTTCTGGAGGGAGGAAAACCAAGAAAAAGAAAGACTTGCACTCAGGAATCAGGAATCCAACAGGAAGAGTGCAGTGGCCTGAAGGGGAATGTGAAAGAGAAAGGTTCAATTGATGGGCTTGACAACTGGAAAGATTATTGTTGACTATTTGATGGGTCTGTTAGAGCATTTGGCATTAACCGTAAGTGTCCTATATAATGAAAGGGTAATATGCAAATTGACCCTAACGGTGGAACGACCAGTCACTATGATGCACACTGACCTGCGTTGAGCGTCTGCCCCCCTGGTGGTCAGTGCAATCCCACAGGGGGAGCTCCGCTCAGCCACAAGCTGGGCTGATGGCTGTGAGCGCAGCAGCGGTGATGGGAGCCTCTCCCACCTCCTCGGCAGCGCTAAGGATGTCTGACTGCGGCTTAGGCCTGCTCCCGGGTGGACATCCCCCGAGGGCTCCCAGGCTGCAAGAAGCACAGGCTGGGCTGAGGGACCCCCCAAGTGCATGAATTTTTGTGCACCAGGCCTCTAGTATAGTAAATAAAGCAGACCTTTAAAATAAGACAGCAGTTAACGACAAGTTAAAACAACTTTCCCTGACATAGTAATGAGAGGGAAGTCCTATTATATAGTGGTGAATCAAATTAATATGGAATATGAATATAGTATTTAAATTATACTATATAACAATAACATAAACACTGTCGACTTTAAATTTTTAAATGTAATTATTATGGGGATGATAAAGGAGAGGTTCGAGTGATGGCAAGAGAGCTACATCACCAACTTCTGTAATTTGGGTATGTCTGAAAGGATCAACCAAGAAAGAATAGTGTGCATGATATTAGTAAATACCAGAAGAAGCGGTTAAAGTTGTTTGTGTGGAATGGGACTTCGAGGTGGGGTTCGGTGGCTGCGGCTTACTGCTCCCGGGTGGACATCCCCCGAGGGCTCCCAGGCTGCAAGAAGCACAGGCTGGGCTGAGGGACCCCCCAAGTGCATGAATTTTTGTGCACCAGGCCTCTAGTATAGTAAATAAAGCAGACCTTTAAAATAAGACAGCAGTTAACGACAAGTTAAAACAACTTTCCCTGACATAGTAATGAGAGGGAAGTCCTATTATATAGTGGTGAATCAAATTAATATGGAATATGAATATAGTATTTAAATTATACTATATAACAATAACATAAACACTGTCGACTTTAAATTTTTAAATGTAATTATTATGGGGATGATAAAGGAGAGGTTCGAGTGATGGCAAGAGAGCTACATCACCAACTTCTGTAATTTGGGTATGTCTGAAAGGATCAACCAAGAAAGAATAGTGTGCATGATATTAGTAAATACCAGAAGAAGCGGTTAAAGTTGTTTGTGTGGAATGGGACTTCGAGGTGGGGTTCGGTGGGCAAGGGGAAGAGCTATTGTCTTTTTTCTGTAGCATTTCTGTATTATTTGATTTTTTCAACTAGACTAAACCAAGAATACAGATGACATTTTAAAAGTTGTAAAAAACAACAACAAAAAACCTATGGCTTAAAAAGCACTTACTTATAAAATGTTTTTTCCCAAATTGCTAAAGCATCTAACCAAAAACATTTTAATAAGAAGCTCTATAAAACACTTCTTGGAAATTAAAGATTGGTGTTTTTTTATATAGATGTAGTTCCAAGGAGTCTTACTTTCCTTCCTCTTAAAAGGAAGGCAACAAACAGTATGAAACTTTAAAAAATGTGTTTTCTTTAAGAAATTGAATCACAGACGTCCACCCTGTAATTGTATTCTTTTGGTTTTTCAAGATACTAAAGAAGGAACCTTTATTTTAGTGCCTGGGTGGAGGCGTAACAAAGCCATTTGTAGGATGGATTTGGCTACAGAGCAGGGGGCCCTTTTGACTAAAAAGGGTTTCTGTACCGAAGCCACAGAGTGAGTTTCCATTGCCCCATTGTCTATATATTCTGTTTATATGTGAACTCGAGGTTCCTACCACAGATTGCACCTCGTCATGTTTTCCTTCCACATCATGGTTTTCCTGGACCTGTTGGTTCCTCTTTGAGGTCCCCTGATGACCTCCTCGCATGGAGCAAGCAAACAGACCTATTGTGCAGCAGGCTGAAAAGGGAGAACATTGCAAACACATGGTGCCAATTTAGGAGTCTGCACCAAGAGACCCAAGATGACTGAATAAAAGAGGCGTTGCATGAGTTTTTCTGAGAGAAACTGGTGGGCACAGTTGGGGATTTAAGAAGAAATAAAAGAAACCCGAAGGAACCTGGGGAACCCATACGGTGGGCTTTGAACTAGAGGTTGCAAATCTTGGTCTTCAGAGGCCAGAGACAGGCAGGGAGATAACACCCCCGGCCTGAGATTTGGGGTGGTCACTTAAGAAGCAGCAGTCAATAACTGGAACATGATGGTGGTGTACACAGGAGTTTATTGTCAAAGAAAGCAGTTAGTCGTTTGAGCTGTTGCAGACTGTGGTAGCAGAAAGGAGAAGGGTTTGTACTGGAAATATTGTGGAAGCAAGACTTGGGGTGGTGGTGAAGAGCATATATAGGGAAAGAGCCATTGATGAAGATTACATCAGCTTTCTCTTTGCTTGAGAGCTTGAGAAGTATGGGAACCTAAAAAATATATAAGTATCTCTGCCTGGCTGGTGCAGCTCAGTGGTGAAACATCGACCCATGAACCAGGAGGTCATGGTTCAATTCCCAGTCAGGGCACATTCTCGGATTTCGGGCTCGATCCCCACTAGGGGGTGTGCAGGAGGCAGCTGATCAGTGACTCTCTCCCATTGTTGTTTCTATCCCCGTCTCCCTCTCCCTTCCTCTCTCTGAAATCAATAAAAACATATAAATATATATATATTTCCGACTTCCCCATGCTTGAATAAAGCTGGCATTGAGCCCTGGCCGGGTAACTCAGTTGGTTAGAGCATCGTCCCCAAATACCAAGGTTATGGGTTTGGTCTCCAGTCAGGGCACATACGAGAATCAACCAATGAATGCAGAAATAAGTGGGAGAACCAATCGATGTGTGTGTGTGTCTCTCTCTCTCTATATATATATACATCTCTCTCTCCCTCCCTCTCTCCCCCTTCTCTCTGTCTAAAAATTAAATTAAAAAGCTGGCATTGAGACATTTATATATTGTCTGATTTCTGAGCACTGAAAAGATTTTAACAATGATTCATATGGTATTGGTCATCTGTTTTATGTTTTTTTGTTTTCTAAATATGTTTTTATTGATTTTGGAGAAGGGAGAGGGAGAGAGAAACATCACTGATGAGAGATACTGGTCATCTGTTTTGCCCTTCCTGCAGGAACACATCTAAATCCTAGGGGGTTTACACAGCACCTGGAGAGGGGCTGCATATGAGTCAGTTTGTAAATGCAGTGTGGCATTGCCCTAGTGGCCATTGTACATAATCTGTGTAAAGCCAGGCTTCATAAGAGAACTACAGATGTTGATGGCTTTTGGTTTTCTGACTCATCTTGTTCCCTTTCAACATTTATCCAACATTATTTGTAGTTTGGCATTCTTCTGTTCATGCCCATAAAGTTAAAACAGGACTCTGCTTCAAACTCAGCAGGCACTCCAGTGTAGACAGTGCCCGGATAGACAGCTGGACCAGAATGACGGGCCCGACTCCCCACCGCCACCTGTTGGTGGCTGGCAGAATTGACATGTTTGGCTCTGGCTGATTTGAGTGGCACATGCAAGTTCTCCCGTTGAGTTTATAAGCAGAGGAGCTTCTATGATTTCAGAGTGACCTACTACTCAGGCAGCCAGCAACACTTTTCTTTTTCTTTTCTCTGTCGTGAAGGTGTGGCGGGGCACGCTGGCCCGCATGCGGTACAAGAGGACCAAGGCAGCCCTGACCATCATCAGATACTACCGGCACTACAAGGTGAAGTCCTACATCCACGAGGTGGCCCGGCGCTTCCACGGCGTCAAGACCATGAGAGACCACGGGAAGCACGTGAAGTGGCCAACCCCTCCCAAAGTTCTTCGCCGTTTCGAGGAGGCCCTACAGGCCATTTTTAATAGGTGAGAACTTGCTCGTATGTGCTGCCTCCATTTATGGCAGCACACTTAATGTGTCATATAAAAATCACAGTTCTTCGACCAGGAGACTGGCTCAGCTATTTGCTGTTTGAATATGTCTCCAATTTTGTAGACTTCGATTTCACAAGGCATCTGTTCCCCTCTCAAAATAGCAGAACTGTCCACTGATTTTTTTTTTCTGTAGCCATATAGACAGCAGCATGCTGCCACCCCTGGATCAAGCCATATTGAAGATGCTATTGGCATGCAGACTCTACTTTCTTCTCGTAGCAAAAAATAGCTATTAAAATCACTGCAAATAACTCAAACTAGGATTTCTGTCCATCCTTTCTGCACAGTGGTTGTCTGTCCTGCTTACCTTAAATTCACGAGGAGTTTATAATACATGTCACTGCCCAAGTCCCACCTCCAGAAATACCTGTCTAATGGAGCTTGGGAGTGGGGGCCCGAACAGAGGTCCTTTTTAAAGTTTCCCAGGAGATTTTGAATTATAAGGGAGGAAGCAACTGTTTTAGAGCATGCAGTATTTTTTAAATAAACAAGCGCCTATGTAAAATTTGATACCTTTCCATCCAGTCTTCATTTTTTTAAACTGCCCTGAATCTGAGTGTTTAGTTATTTATAACTCCTTGCTCCTGATTGTTTGAGCTTATTTGTTGCCAGTGTGCACCAGATACATTTAGCTTTGTCTTAGGTGCAGCTGTCTAGTCCCATAAGCTAAGCTAATGGTCCTCAAATGCGGTCATTTGGTGGCATAATGGTCCACGTGGAACACTGAAGTCATTGAGCGATTGGATGTAAATTGGTGGCAGATGTCAGAAGATAAAAAAGTGCATGGGAAGAAAATTTTATTTTACATATCTCATTTGCTTTACAAGAAAAAGAATGACTGCTCATAAAAAGAAAAAAATCAAACAGTGCAGATTTATTGAAAGCAAAAGTACCTAAACTCTCAGGTGTAATGCTATCAATGTTAGTTGTAGTCTTGGCAGTCTTTTTAATGCACGGATAAGTGTTTCTTCATGAATTGTATTCTCTGCAACCTGCATTTTTTACATAATCTAAAACGTAATTAAGTGATACATGACTACATGCTCATTTTTTTTAAAGTGAAATAACATAAAAATATATAGGATATAAAGTTGAAATCCTCCACACCTTCTCTTGTCTCTCCCCATTTTGTTTCTTTCCCCTGAAATAACCACTCATTAACAATTACTTTATATCCTTCTAAATCTTTGTCCTTGCACTTACAAACACACACACGTAAGAGACAGCATGATGTAATGGTTAGGAACACAAACCCTGGAGCCTGGGTTCATATTCTAGCCCTGCCACTGAACAACTGTGTAACCTTGGGCAAATTAGTTAACCTCTCTGTGCCTCAGCTTCCTTATCTGTAAAACAACAGTAACAATAGTACCTGCTCATAGGGTTGTTGAAAGAATTAGCAGTAAATACGTATATAAAGCATTTGCTCATACTATGAGTGCATATGCATCTAGAGTCACATATAATTTTGAATTTTTCCCCTCTTTTACACAAGCGAGATTATAAGTATGGTTATATGACTTGACTTAGAAATAAGTCTTGAAGACCTGTGCATGACAACAAATAAAGATCTGAGTAATATTTTTAATGGATGCAAAGAATTATTGGTTTCAATTATGTTGCTCTGTGGCCTGTACAGTCTTCCTTAGATTTTTGAGGTTTTATGTATGGCCTAGAATTGATTAGTTTTGGACGGTAACAATAGTACCTGCTCGTAGGGTTGTTAAAAGAATTATGAGTAAATACATATGTAAAGCATTTGCTTATACTATGAATGCATATGCATCTAGAGTCACATATAATTTGGAATTTTCCCCCTCTTTTACACAAGCGAGATTCTAAGTATGGTTATATGACTTGACTTAGAAATAAGTCTTGAAGACCTGTGCATGACAACAAATAAAGATCTGAGTAATATTTTTAATGGATGCAAAGAATTATTGGTTTCAATTATGTTGCTCTGTGGCCTGTACAGTCTTCCTTAGATTTTTGAGGTTTTATGTATGGCCTAGAATTGATTAGTTTTTGTAAAATTTAGTGGCAGTATACACTCAGCACCTGCTGTGCCACAGGCACTGACCTAGGTTCCAGGTATATGGTGACAAACAGCCAAGATGCAAACGACGGTCCCAGGCATCTTAGGGCTTGCAGTCAATGAGCATTTTGAAAAGACTGCGCCTGCTCAGTTTATTGACTTGTCCTCCCTTTCTCTCTCTCTCTCTCTCTCTCTCTCTCTCTCTCTCTCTCTCTCTGAATGGATCTTGCTAGTTGTATTAGTCTAGTCCAAAGGAAAACTTTTTCTGTAAAGAGCCAGAGAGTGTATATTTTGGAGGCATTTTACTGTTTTTAGGGTAGCATGCAAGCAGTCTGGGTTCATTCTACTTCATGGCAGCTTCTTGTGTTTGAGAATGAATGGTCTTGTGCTTCTGCAGTCGAATACATTGTGTTTATTTACTCGTAGATGGCGAGCATCTCAGCTCATCAAGACCATCCCTGCTTCAGACCTGCCCCAGGTCAGGGCAAAGGTTGCGGCCATGGAGATGCTGAAGGGTCAAAGGGCTGACCTTGGGCTCCAAAGAGCCTGGGAGGGCAACTATCTTGCTTCGGTAAGTGCAGGAGAACTTAAGTGGGTTCACTCCTGCTCCCTTAACAAACAAAAAAAAAAGGAGAATTTTTCTCCAAGAATTTATAGAAAAACTGACACCTTCAGAAACTAGATCCTATGAGCAACACTAAACTAAAAGTTTTATTGCTTCCAAGTGTACAACAGGTGACGTTTTCCCCACGTTAAAAAGGGTGTTCTGTCTTCTATCTGTGTGTATTAGGTACATGCTATACCATGGCTTTGACCATTTAAACCTTCCCTTGCATAACTCAGCAACTATTTTTAACTATCACCTTTATATCAGTTATTCCCAAAGCTCTGTTCCATCCCCTCTCAGATCCCTTATTTTAAATTTTTATAAGACTTTTGTTGTTAAAACAGCCCTTTAGTAGCTTACCACCTGGGATGGGGGGGGGTAAAAAGTAAGCGTGTGCAACGTCATGAGCTTATCAATAAAGCCGTGCCCTAAAAGCTCACTTTTTCATCTGAAATGCTAAGCATCATCATTCGATCACACTTCCTGTCTCTTTCAGAAGCCAGATACACCTCAGACCTCAGGCACTTTCGTCCCCGTCGCCAATGAACTGAAACGGAAGGACAAGTACATGAACGTCCTCTTCTCCTGTCACGTCCGTAAGGTAAGGCGATGCTGAGATAGACCCTCTCGGAAGGAAGAGGCTGCTTCCGATTCAGCGCCCTGAGACACGCCTTCAGTGAGACATAGCGATAGGTGCACCGCTGGCTCTGTCCTCAGGAGGCTGTGCCTGTCCGAGGGAGGCATGGATGGAAGGGCGGGGGATACTGCAGTGTCCGAGTCAGGCTATTGGCTTCATAAGGGAAGTGGATATTTTTAGCAACCATTCTTCTTAAAACCGGAGAGGGGGACCTCCTAGAGGTCAAGGATTTGTATTTTACTGAATACCTATCTTTCAAACACAAACTAGTCTGCCTGTATTTAATGGTCATTGAGTACTTTTTTATACATGTTTTATTGCTGGGTTTTTTTTTTTTAAATTTTATTGATTTCAGAGAGGCAGAGAGAGGGAGAAAGAGATAGAAATATCAGTGATGACAGAATCATTGATCAGCTGCCTCCTGCACACCGCACACTGGGGATTGAGCCCACAACACAGGCATGTGCCTTGACCAGGAATCGGACCCGTGACCTCCTTGTTCATAGCTCAATGCTCAACCACTGAGCCACGCCAGGGAGAGGGAGGAAGAACGTAGTTTGGAAAAGTGAGAAGGACATAGTGAGATTCGGAAGGGATGGGGAAAGGTTATGTGCTAGGGATATATTTGCTCACCTGGAGCAGGATGTGTGTGGACTGTTATTTACCTGGAGATGAGAGCAGCTGGGCGAGTGGAACAGGTGGAAGTTGGAATGTGGAAGGCAAGGGACATAGTTGGTTTTTTAAAAACATTTGTTTAGAAAAAGAGAGAGAGGAAATTGAAATAACTATAAAAGAACATTTTGTAAAATTATGCAAATAAAATTATGCAAGTAAATTTTAAAATGTTAATTAAGTGGGTGGACTTAAGAAAAACATTACCTAGATTAACCCCAAGAGAGATTTTGATATAAATACACCAATATTCGCAGGAGGAATTAAGAAAATATCAAAGAGTTACCTCACAACAAAGGTTCAGGTTTAGGTGATTTTAGAGGTCTTTTGTTTCACATTTTCAAAAAATACATAATCACAGTGTTATTCAGATCAAAATAATGAAATGATATTTTTCTATATAAATGTGGGAAACTTTAAAATGTTAATAACAACGAGCGTTTGCAAGAGTTTAGAGAAACACTGTTGGTTGGTAGGTCATAAAACAAGCCTCAGTAAATTTAAAAGGATTGAAATCGTACAAAGCATATTCTCTGACAATAATGGAGTAGAATTAGGAAAGAAGAACAGAAAGCAATTTCGGGGATGCACAGATAGGTGGAAATTACGTGACACACTCCTGAGCAACCAGTGGTCAAAAAAGAAATCACAGGAAAATCAGAACATTTGGAAAAGAAGATACAACATAGCAAAACTTATGGGAGGCAGTGAAAGCCATCTTAGAGGGAAATGTAATTCCTATAATAGAAGAGATGACAGATCTCATATCAATAGCCTAATCTTCTACCTTAAGACACTGCTAAAAAAAAAAAAAAAAAAAAACAAAGCAGGAAAATAAAATAGTAAAGATTAGAGCAGAAATCAATAAAATAGAGAATATAAAAATAATAGGAGATAAAACAACAAAACCAAAAGTTTTGATTTTGACAAATCTTTAGTCGGACTGACCAAATACTATAATAGAAGAAGGAGATTGAACTATTCATGAAGTTCAAAAAAACATAACTGCTGGCGTTCAGACATTCAAGTCAATGTAATATAAACTTTTAACAAAATAGGAAGCAGTCTGTTTTGAACTTAGAATGAAATAAATATCACCAAGGAAAGTTTGCTGGTATCTCAGAGTGGCTACCAAAGTCCCGAGTCTAATTCTGAGCTGAATTCAGAAACCCTAGTTTATAAGTGTACCTAGGATTGATCAGCCAATCAGGAAATGACTTTTGCTAACCAGATTTCATTGACCCGCACAAAAAAAGTATAAGCCCTAATGCCAGTAAATTTAACCAAGGAATGTACCATTCCAGCCATTTCCGCGAGTCCTCATTTCTACTATATAGGATACTTCCTCTCTAGAATCATGGTAACTATGAAGTCACATTAGTAATCAGGACAAGGGATCAAAGACTGTTGGGTGGTGTTGACAGTCATCCTCTACTCTGGAAAAGCCTGGTGCCTCTGATTCTTTCTCTCCAGGGGTGACAATGGGATGTCTAACGGCATGTCTCTCCCTGGCTCCTCCTGGATAAAAACTGAAAAATTCTTAGCCATGCTCCTGTAATTTTTTTAATGTATTTTTATTGATTTCAGAGAGGAAGGGAGATTGAGAGAGAGAGACACATCAATGATGAGAGAGAATCATTGATCAGCTGCTTCCTGCACACCCCACACTGGGGATCCAGCCCGCAACCTGAGTAAATGCCCTGACCGGAATCAAACCGTGATCTCCTGGTTCATAGGTCAACGCTCAACCACTGAGCCATGCTCCTGTATTTCTAAGTTCAATGCAGAATAATATTTCTTCATACTATAGATTAGATTATGTCCTCTTTAGAATCTTTTTTTTAATATATTTTATTGATTTTTTTACAGAGAGGAAGGGAAAGGGATAGTTAGAAACATCAATTAGCGAGAAACATCCATCAGCTGCCTCCTGCACGCCCCCTACTGGGGATGTGCCCGCAGCCAAGGTACATGCCCTTGATCGGAATCGAACCTGGGACCCTTGGGTCCACAGGCCGATGCTCTATCCACTGAGCCAAACCGGTTAGGGCTCTCTTTAGAATCTTTTTAATCCCAAAGACGTACCAAGATGAACTTGACTTGATTTCAGTAAAGCCCTCTTCTTTATGCCTTGACTTTTTTATGAAGCAGCCACTTTGTATTAACTACCATCATAAACTGTCCTTTAAGGTGGGAGACTTCTGCAGATAGCTGCTCTCACTCTCATAATAAGTCTGACTCTCCAGGGAATGTTTCTCTCTGGCCCCCTGTGGTGCTGACTGAACCTGTAAACAGATCCTTAGAAGTGTTTAGGCAAAAGCAAGATGACAGGGATTTTTTCTTTAGTTGAGGATTTTTGTTTGGGTAAAAGAAGAAATAAGATGAGATCTTATCTAATATTGAGTCTGCAATCCAGTTTTTCTATTACTTTATGGATTTACATGGAAGAAAATTAGTGTTTCTATGCCATAATTATTTTAATTTAGTTTGAATTTACAGATTTACATATGTATAGAACAAGTTTTTCTTGCCCGGCTGGTGTGGCTCAGTGGTTGAGTGTCGGCCCATGAACCAGGAGGTCAAGGTTCCGTTCCGGTCAGGGTACAAGCCTGGGTTGTGGGCTCGATCCCCAATAGGAGGCGTACAGGAGACAGCCGACCATGTTTCTCTCTCATTGATGTTTCTATCTCTATCCTTCTCCCTTCCTCTCTCTAAAATCAATAAAAATATTTTTTAAGTTTTTCTTTCCATTTTGATTTAGCTGAGTTATGCCACTAAAAGCTATCACTGAGTTGCATGACATCCCTCTCACTCGATCCATGCTTTAAGGACGATTTGAGTTGCTAAGACAGAAGGTAAAGATTTATGACCTGTTCACTTTAGGAATTACATTTTTACATAAAAAAAAGAATATAATATTTCTAAACATTGTCAGTAAAATTGCTGCTTTGAGGTTTTTGTTTGTCAGTTTCCAGATGAACTCATGGACATAGCGTAGAAAGGACAATACTCTCCACTTGACCACTGTGGCCTATTGTTTGTGACTCTTGCATGCCTTATGAAATTATGCAAAAGCATCTTTTCATACTTTTTTGCAACACTCATATTTTTCAATACGAATTCGCAAAAGATGAGGAACACTACTTTGGCTTATTATTTAGATTTTGTCTTTGATGTTCTCTCGTCTCCATATTCTAAGATGGCTACAAATGATGAGTGTTCTCCAACATGGGTTTCTGCTGACTCTGTGTTTTTAGAAAGGACCCCAAGTTTAATGTTGAACATGCTCTCTGTGCAGCATTCTCGGAGCCTTGAATGGACTTGTGGGTTATGAGCATCCCAGGGAAGGATGTGGTTTGCATTGTTCCTCAATCCAGCTTGACTTGGAGCCCTTTCTTGCAGAGAGCATCACACGAGGCTAGTGTTGTGCAAAACAACCTAGAAAAGGCTGATGTCCCCGCTCTGCGGTCTCTCGTTTCAAGTCTCTGACGAGGGCCAATTCGCTTTCATGGCAAACACTGTTGCCGTGTGCAGTGAATAAGCACCACAAAGAGTAGTTACTATTTCACCACATAAACTCTATTTTACTATTTTTTTAAATATGTTTTTATTGATTTCAGAGAGGAAGGGAGAGGGGGAGAGAAATAGAAACATCAGTGATGAGAGGATCACTCATCAGCTGGCTCCTACACGCCCCACACTGGGGATCGAGCCTGACTGGGAATCAAACCGTGACCTCTGGGTTCATAGGTCAGTGCATAACCACTGAGACACACCGGCTGGGCTCTATTTTACTCTATTGCTCTTCATTTTTGTCAAGACTAAAAAATATACTTTGGTTATAAGGATATGTTTAGAGAGTTGACTGATAACTAAAGCTATGAGGCGAAAGGGAGAAGACTGAATAAAATTCAAACTGAAACTTGAATTTTAGTTTGCTATCTTTTACCTATGGCAATATATCTTCTGTGTCCCATCCACCTGTCGTAATTTACTCAGGTGTGTATCCTACCAATGCTGTCGATGTTTTCAAATGAATTTCTTAACTTCTTTGTTGTATCTTAAAAATAAGATCTTGGAAGCAGAGATGGAGGGTTATATATCACAACTGTGCCTTCTACTTAGTGGAGAGTTTTTAGTGGTCTTTTTTGTTGTTTTGTTTTGCTTTGCTTTTCCTTCTAATCACTGAGAAACATGACCTTGTAGTTCCTCAGAATTTTTTTTTGAAATTAAAAAAATTCTTTTTAATTTATTGATATTAGAGAGAGAGAGAGAAAGGTGGATAGAGATTTGTTATTCCAC